ACTGTCCTCAAACACCTGGTAGAACATTAGTCCAGAGTAGAATGGGACAACACAATAGTTGGCGTCTCTTTTATTTAGAAGTTTAACAGTGGAAAACAGAATACATTGCATGGCAAGACTTAAGGTTTTTATGAAGTACAATCGATTTGACATCATGTTTCCACGTATCATGGTTTTATGCATGAAGACTTCGTAGAAACACATTGTGCCATAGTATTGTTGTATAATGCAATACAACTATAGTATAAGGCAGGAAGTCAGCATGATTGCTTGCTTTCTTTGTTTCAGATGCATGATAATGAAAACTTATAATTTTATATGTACAATATACACATAAAAGGCTCTAAGCATTTCCATAATATTTCCAAGAACAATGCATTTCTGTGTGAAGAATTTCCAAGAAGAGAGGATATCCAGCTCATTAATATGCATTGCTGGGCTACATTGTACTTGTACAACATGAATGTGAATCTGTAGTCAAGTACATAAATTATGTAAGTCAAGTAAGTCAAGTAAGTCAGTTAACAAAATACTTGGCAATTCACATTTTTATTTATCTTCAATAAAATAATGCTTGACAGTTCTTTGGGGAGCAATGGGCTATAGCTAAAGTCAAGAGGCAAGGACGCAAAACAATTAAGATTATGTATATCGTACCAACACTTGAAGCCAAAGTCTTCTAAGAAACATTATCTATACCTCTTACTGTCTAAGAAAATTGGGTAGTTATAACTGGGAAATATGTTTTTTTTTCAACGCCTTTAATGTATACTAATGAACTATATTGCTGGATGATACATGTATTTCCCTGGAAATGTCTAGTAAACAATAGAAACATTGAGAATCCTACCTCATTGTCTCCGTTCATGGCTACATCAGTGTTGGTCACATCGGCCAGAACTTCTGTGTCTCCCATGGCAAATTTCTGCAAGAAAATTACATGACACATTCAGTTAAAGTACTAAAGCATCTACATCTGAATCTCAAACAGTGACATCATGTACTTGCTATTCTATTTAGGACAACCAATACAGCTTGCACCTGTACAGCTCAACAGTATCATATTTCTTAATATAAAAGATATTAGCAGCTCACCAAACCCTTGATATAAAATTTCTGTAATGAAAGATGTGAGTATAGCTAGTACATGAATTTGGGCCTTCAAAGTGGTCAGCTGACAGTTCAGAGACATTCAATATTTTAACTGTTTGAAACATATATTTGTATATACCAACAGAATAGATCCCGTCCTAGCAAATGCTCAAAATGCCGGTACCTGCTACCCACAGCTGATTATCACTGTAGAATGTCTTAATTTCCTGTAAAGAAATACTGTTCCTTTAATTTTCCCATTGCCATCAGCTATTATCATGTCTGTGTCATACATATATAGATTTTACTAAATAAGTGGTCTGTTATTGTATGTCAAAACACTGACTGTAAATTTTGTGATAGATAAACTACCAAGAGCAAGAGTTTGGGAAAAATGTCAAATTCTACAGTATATTTCAACCCCAGATAGTTATCGAGGACAAAGGCACAACAGGAAAATACCCTATCTTATAAAATATTCATCAAACTGATTCAAAGGTATTGATATTTGATGACAGGGTATCCTCTGCACCCACTTAGCTTTTTACCAGCTGAGGTCCTAAAAAGTAAGATACCATGACTGACCTTCAATTTGGCTTATGTTATATCATTATTTATGAATGGAGGAATCAGAAAAACTTGCATCAAAATAATTATATGTCCACACAATATTACTAAAATACATATCACATATATTATTGTACATTCCATTTTAAGAAAAAAGATGGTTGTCTATGACATATGACACCCCTCAGTGAATGGTACATTCCACCAGGCTTACCACACACCTATAAATAGAGCTTATTCACCACACGTCATCATGACGTCACGACCCCTCATGTCCCGTGCGATGCCATTTTGGGGCTACAGCGCCTACAGCGAGTTTCCAAGCATTGAAATGGCCGACAAACGTTAGGTAAACTGTCCTTTGTCCTATTACACGAAGAGTTTACCACCACTCATACCTCTCGTTACTGGAACAAAATAAAATCTGTTGGGATTGACCCGTTTTTGTTGAGTTTTGATCAGTCTGATCGAGACGGCGTCTACCGCCAGCGGAGTCCATTGACGCGACTTAGCTTCGTATTTGGTACTGGGCCGAAGTTTTTACACACAACATCGGTTCAAACCCTCTAAGAGTCTGGAAGCGTTGTATCAGGATGTGTAGAGAGTGTTGTGGGACATGCAGTTGCGTGGTGACAAGTACGTTGTAGTCGGGATACGCAAAAGGTCGCTATTTTGGAACAGCCCCGGACTGTGTCTGGATAATAACAAACAAATGCGGGGCCATCAGCCACCGGCCGCCATCCTCAGTCCGCACTGCCGCGACTGTGGCTGGACAAGGTGAGTGTTACAAGTTGCCAGTGCCCTGTTCTACATGGACATTTACCACAGAGTAAAGGGACAGGTAGCTTCAACAGATTTAACGTGTCCATGGCTATCCACGTTGACATCTACAGGGGGCGATCTACAGGCCCCTACGCCAGGGTACAGGCCTCGAAATTAACTTTTTTCACTATTGTCCCAGAATTGTCCCGAACATAGATTTCAATTGTCCCGAACTGAAGATGGACTGTCCCAGCCTGCTTTTCAGGAAATAAGTTGATGACAAAAATAAGAAAACAACTGAATTTGTACAACTTGAAGTCCACTTTATTAGTAAATGTAGGGAAATACGTGATAATATCATGGGCATGGCACCGTCCCTGATATTTGGAATCCCTGATTGGTCAAATTTAAATGTTTGTCAGAGTATTATGTATTTATAGGCTGCCAGCAGTCTGCAGCAGGATGGATCGATCGCATTCCCAAATGACGTGGATGGTCTTAGAATTTTCCGATTGCCCCAAAATTGTCCCGAAACGTAATTTGAATTGTCCCAAGCTGAAAATTTAGTGTCATTTGACACTGGGACAATGTTAATTTCGAGCCCTGGGGTAAAACACACCGATTTTCTGATCAGCAAAAAAAGATAAAAGCCGATCTTGAGAACATGAGACGTGGACATGGAGCCAGAACAACCCCAAGGACAATGTTACTAACAAGAAGAGTGTTCAAAATGTAGATTGTGGCCCAAAATGCGCAACTATCGCCAAGAGTTTTCATAGCGTACCATAGCGATAGGCACCATGCTGCACCCCCTAATGGCGGACAATGCTCGCTGCCGGGGGGAAGAGTCACGTGACCATCTGTGGTGAATAAGTCCTATAGATGATTAAATGTTACTGCTCTATCTCTCTTGTTTAGTAGACTGTCACCAATCAATAAACCACTGGAGGGTCCTTTTATTATAGAATGGCCAAAGCTATTGAAAACTAAGGGTCTAACAGAATACAAATAATCAAAAATAATAAAAGGGAAGCTGTGAAAGCTCCCCTCCCCCTAAGTTTGTAAGCTGTATAACTATAATGCTAGTGAATAAAATTTCATTTACAAAGGTATAGAGTACTGACAATTCAACAACATGAAGAATCAATAGGGTAACAGACAGAAACCCCTATTAAGGTAGGGCCATTCGTCAAATTTCCAAACCAGGATTGTACAATTTGTACCGGCAGTTACCAGATGCTAGAGATGTTTTACACCTAGACATAAAACAGAGCATGTGCCTTTAGTCCTTGATTTATGAATCGTAAACATTCATGTTTGTCTCCAATTATGAAATACTAGAAGAATATATAAAATCTATTATTACAGTATATATATATAAATGCTAATAGTACCAGAACAGGCAATATAAGGTCGGGAGAGTTGTATCTTGCAGAGAAACAATTATAGCACTTATTGATTTTTTAGTCCTTCTGCAGGAAGGTACTGTTTTCCGTCGTGTTTGTGCACTTAAAGCTATAACTCACAGTGGATTTGACACATTTTTTTTATTTTTGGTACATGACAAGTTATTGTGGTCCAGATGATGCAGGTTTGGGATTTCAGATTTCTTGTTAGATCATGTAAGTTGTCTGGTATGCATTTAGGCCATAGCAAGTAATTCTTATGGATGACATCAGCGCGCATTAATTTTCACCTGATTTTTGAAAAAAAATTTTTTGTTGCCTTCTGAAACTTTGCTGACTGAAAGTGGTCAACCTGCCAAAAATGGGCAAAGACGTCTGTTGCCATGCCAGAAGGTGGATGGCAGATAACTATGAAGAGAGGAAACAAGAAAAGGTTCTGATTGAATGTTTTGTATCTTTGATGCAGTGATATGTGATTTTAAAATGTGGGAACCTTGTTTTTTTTTCGCCCACTAGCATCAGATTTGGACGCTGTGGAGGATGTCATCCATAAAATTTACTTGCTGTGGCCTAATATGAATGATAAACAAAGTATGAGGTTTATATGACATGTAGCACACTCTGTTAAATGTACCAGCATATACTCCCACATTATTAGACACACAGAGATAGCATGATCAATGACGCCACCGACATGGCAAAGGTTGAAGCACTGAACTTGAGATAAGTTGGTCAGCTGGCAAGCTTTCAACATCTACCACCCTTCACCTTTCAACAGACACGTTTTAACATAAACTAGCAACACCTTTTTCTAGACCACTGTTATAACAACATGCCTACATGATGATATCTGACTGAAGAATTTAGGATATGAATGAGGTTCTGCTTTTTCCTTTGTGCGCTGGATTACTACTGTAAGTGCCGACTCCACAAGTGTATCAGATGACCCAGATATAATTCATAAATGGCAATTTTGTATAGCACGAGTCCAACCTGTTCTTGTCTGGATGTCATGAATGGTTGGTTGACTGGGGAGAACCCTGAGGCTACAGTTACTAGTGACAAACTGCACAGGCCACTGGCCAGGTAATACAAAAAGCACATACAGTGTGCACTTACTACATGAATGTCAACAACTATGAATGAGCACTTTTAACAGCCTCTACTAAAACTTAAGAAAATTCAAAAGCCCTATTCCCAATCCTGTAAAGCCTTGGCCAAAATTTTTTTATGAAAGGCAGCTAATACCTTGTAAACACGTTTTGAGGTATAATTTGTAAATCAGCTGAAAAATGGGTCTATTCAGAGGTACCACGCCTACCTGAAATGTCACTCCATGATTAGACTCTTCAGACAACAGCTGTAATTGTACGTTTACGTTTAAGTAGAAACTACATGCACATGTTGTCTGTAACTTGTAAGTTACTGCACATAAATTCCAATTTTGACAACTGACATAAAATGTATAGCTTGCTTCCAGCAATCATCATTATAAATTCAAGGTCTCATAATCTATCAAGAAAATAAAATCCTCCAATTAATTTACACGAAAATGATTTTTAAATTATCTATTTTATAACAAGTCGTCCTTTGACAGATAGTTTTATGGGTGAAAGCTTTTAAATACCACTGACTGAAAAAGCTGGAAAGGGCATCAACCTCACTATCCTTGTGATTCAATGACGTATGAATGGTTACATTGTCTATTCATTCTACCTGTCTGTACCTGAATCAATCAATTGGTATAACTGGCCTTCAGGCATAAAATGCACAGTGACGACAATGGATGGTTACCTTGTATGGTTGTATCAGACAATTTGTCTCACCTACATGTATACTTACATGTATCTAATATGGTGATACATTGCTTAAAACCATTTCAATGAAAACACCCTTAACCTCAATCAATGGAAACTAGCACTAGGAAAACACAATCTTTTTAAACCTTCATTCTGGTTTCTTGAAATGGAACAGTGTTACTTCAAAAATATGAATGGACTTGGCAAGAATACTATGACTTCAAACATTATTATGTCATTTAGCAAAAATGGCGACATCAAAACAGTTACATTGTACATACAAATATTATAAGGTCATA